GTTTGCCTCCTTGATTTAGAGGTAACTCGACCATCTAGCTAACTTTGACTTTCCTCTTTAACCATTTGGCTGGTTTTATTTCTTTTTCGACCACCTGGCAGACTTTGTGATAATTTCCAACCGCTTCCCATTTCCTTTTATTATTAATATGGCTTTATCCTGCCACGCGCCCCGTTTGTCAGGCATACTAATCATCGCACCTCATCGCGATCCGCACCTCTTCGTTATTTGTGCGCTTTAATTTCTCTTTGTCGTTTGATCTCTCTTTAACCCAACGGCTATCTTCATCAACTTTTTTGCCTAATTTCCCTATACTCATATAAATACCGCACTTAACAGTTTTTTCGACTTTTCCTACGCTTCTGCAAACTTCAATTCTTCTGTATCCTAATCCCTTATCTGCAAATTGAGCCTCCTTGCTTCCAGTGTTCTCCTTTTCGTCATCTACAAGTTCTCCAGCTCTCCGGCGACTCTTTCTCCACTGCAATCATGAGTAAGTGCTCTGTACCTTGTCTTCGTGTGTCCTCTATGTACCTTGTCTTCGTGTGTCCTTTCTTTGTTGATTTTTTATTTTTTCACTTTTGTCTATTTTTCCTATTTCGAGATTTCCCTTGCTTTCTATCCCCCAAAATCCTCCTCTCTTTTCCTTCACTGTTCATCTTCGAGCGCCTTAAAAAATTCTCCCTTTAACATTTTCTCCTTATCTTTCAGATCCCTCTGCTTCCAACGAGGACAACCAACATTTCGGCGGAGATTCATTTTGACGCCCTACTCCTCATTCCCCTTCCCGCTCTGTTGAGGAGATCTATAATCCCACTCCTCTCAACTTTCTTCGTCCTTCCAACTATTCAGCATCTACTCTTTCACCCCAACCTCATTGTCTGGTCGATGAATCAGATGATGACTCTCTCGACGACATTCCTCTCATCCGTCGTCGTCGACTGGGCCTTCGGAGCTTTTGACGCAGCAGAAGCAACACTTGATGTTGTCGAGGCCACCTCTGGGGAAGGTGAGGATCACGTTCCTCTTTCCCACCGTGCCGCTCCTTCCAAACCTTCTTCTAGTAAATCTAAAACATCCGCCACCCCTATATCCAAATCCAAAGCTAAGTCTTCGGCCATTCCTGCTTCATCCAAAACTAAACCTACTCCTATTGTTACTTCTTCTCCATCACCTCCTAAAAAGAAGAAAACCAAGGCCTCTGCTTCCAAGAAAGTATCTTCTTCTTCCCCTCCTCTTATAGTGGGGTGGTTAAAGGCCGATGATGTCGGGCACCCTTCTGGATGGGTTTTCCTGTCCCCCTCACCTCATAATACTTATGATAATCCACCCAAAGGCTACTACTCCTTCTTCGAGATTCAGTTTAAACTTGGTATCCGTTTCCCAATTTTTCCCCGAAGTGGTCGGAATTTGCAAGTGGTTCGGCCTTCCGCTGAACCAGCTTTCCCCAAATGCCATTCGCTTCATAACCACCTTCATCATCCTATCTCACATAAGACCGGGTTGTTTCGACCTAGGTTTCTTCCATTATTGCTACTTACCCTCAAAACAGGCCCAAGAACTTTATCTCAAAAGCCCTTATGACGCCCATTTTATTTCCCACATTCCTTCGAATTGTCCCAGATGGAAGGACAAATTTGCCTACGTTAAGCTCGATCCTGCTTTCCCTTGGGCACCCACTCCCTGGCTAAACGAGCTTCCGTTTGCGTCTGAGAACCCCTCTCCTGACGCTCTCTTCGACCAACGTATTGCTTTATGGAACACCAAACCTGTCACCTCAAAAACTCAGCTCGAAAATGATAATCTCTTACACTTTTGCGGCCTCCTCACCCACAAATCTCTATCTCCTCCTACTCAAGAGACCTTTGATCTCATCCAGATCAAAGACGACCCCGGTATTTATTGCAAAATGTGCTCGAGTATTGCAATGTTTGTTTTTGCCTGTAACTTACCTGTTGTGATGTTAACTTGCTCATGATTTCTTCTTGCAGAGATGTCTGTTCTGCGACTGCCTAAGAGGAGAGTTCCTCTAAAAAAGAAAGCTGCCGAGGGGTCGAGCTCAAAGCCTGCTAACTCGATCGCCTCCCCATCCACTCGCTCCACTTCGCCTCCCCCTAATCGCTCTGCTTCACCGCCGCCTAATCAAACGGCCTCCTCCATGGAGGTCGAGCCTCGTACTGCCTCAATCCAGGAGCCAATCGTCGAGGGGCACTCCGTACATTCCACGACCAACATTCCCCTCGACGAGCTATCCGAACGACCTCTATCTCCACAACCAGACTCTCCTCTGCCTGGCTCGAGCACCCCGATCATTCATATACCTGCTTCTCCTGATGCCAAATTGGTCGAGGAGAGTCGACTCGAGGAGAGCCAACTCAAGCGTCCCCCTGTGGAGGGGAATGAAGGAGCTAGTAAGCATCGTCGTCTCGAGGAGACCGCAATCATCACACACTCCTCTGCCGTCTCGCTGACCCAGCTCAGCGGTGTGGATGTATCATCCTTCCTTAAGGGTGTTCTTCCTGCCGTCGACCTCCCTACCGACCTCCCCACCCGGAGGCCTTAGTCGTGGTGGATTTTTTGTCGTCGAACACATGTCCACCCTCAAATGAGTGGTCGATACATGCGACCACCCAACCCAGAGGCCTTAGTTATGGTGGATTTTTTGTCTTCAAACACATGTCCACCCTCAAATGAGTGGTCGGTACATGCGACCACCCAGCCCGGAGGCCTTAGTCATGGTGGATTTTTTGTCTTCGAACACATGTCCACCCTCAAAGGAGTGGTCGATACATGCGACCACCCAGCCCGGGGGCTTTAGTCATGGTAGATTTTTTGTCTTCGAACACATGTCCACCCTCAAAGGAGTGATCGATACATGCGATCACCCAGCCTTGAGGCCTTAGTCATGGTGAATTTTTTGTCTTCGAACACATGTCCACCCTCAAAGGAGTGGTCGATACATACGACCACCCAGCCCGGATGCCTTAATCATGGTGGATTTTTTATCTTCGAATACATGTCCACCCTCAAAGGAGTGGTCGATATATGCGACCACCCAGCCCGAAGGCCTTAGTCATGGGGGATTTTTTTGTCTTCGAACACATGTCCCCACAGATGACACCAAATAGTAACACAAAACACTCCGACCGGCTTGAAATCAGCTCGTCTTCCTCCTCTTTGTCGGTAGAACGCCGTGTACCTGCAAAGAACTCTCACACCGGAGGGTTTTCCGGTGAAGAGTCCCCGATGCTTAAGTCAGTATGTGTTTCACTCAATTTTCAAGAGTAAAAAATGGATAAATCGTGAATAACAAGAAATGCTCACTCCTATATATATAGGAGTGAGATACCTGCCCTAGGAGCTGCCCGAATTTGGTGAGCTGTCTGCCCAGCGCTGCCCGGATCTGCCCGTCCGTGCACACATAGTGCGTGTGTGTGTCAGAGGTAGTTATCGCCACTATCGCGCTGCACCAATATATTCTTGCCACGTGCCCTTCTGGGCAGAGGGTAATTATTCCGTTGAATATTCCCTGAGAATTCGTGAAGAAGTCCACGTGCTTCCTCACGTTCACATCATGCTCTCGATCGCTCTTCACTCGCTGGTATGGGCTCTCATTTAGCAGGTCGATCTTCAACCAGATCTGCTACGATGTTCGACCACCTCCTTTCAGTTTGCTTCTGCTCGACCAACGTGGCCTTTCCATCATTAGGCTCGTATAACCGACGTAGCAAACCAGTATATTCCTTTAGGCAGATATTATCTCATATCAATGCTCAATTACAACTGTAGGCTTATAACCAATATGCATTGTTTTATTTTTCCCATTTTTGAGAAAACATTTTTTATGATTTTGGGCATGACAACATTCTTTAAGGACCCTTTTGAAGGCTTAATGCTTACTGAATGTATTGGCATTAACAGAATTTAAGTACACTCTCCAACCATTTAAAATGTTATTTACATTAATAGTATCATTTATCAGTTAAGTCAAAATTGTCATTACTCTTTCCGATTTGGGCTTACTGAATGTATTTTGCTTTCTCCATTTCGTTTCTTTTGTTTCCTTCTTCTAATTCTCTTGTAAAAATCCAAAATCAATCCTAAAAAATAAGGCCCAATAACGGCCCAAATAAATTCCTTGCTTTTGACATGTGAGCATCCCACATCGGAAGAAAAAACAGCAAAAGTAAGCTATTTAAACAATTGCATTACCTACTCTATGCAAAGCTTATTATTGGGCCGCTCAGTCGTACAAACCGTTACTGGTTTAGCGGTTTTTCCGGTTTTTGACTGGTTTTATGCTCCAGCGGTTCCATGCCTCAAATTGAACCATTATATAGGCCGGTTCCCGGTTGAACCTGCCGGTCCGGTCTGGTTTTCAGAACACTGGTCAGAGTAAGGGGAAATTTTCATCTATCCTACAAGATTTAGATTTATTTGTGATTTTGTAGCTACTATAAGTTTAATTGCATATGTACCTATAACTATTGAATTAATTGGAGATTTACTTGATTTCAGTTACCATACAAAAAACGTTGACTCATAAAAGAGAGAAATGAAAATAAATAACTTACTCATTTAATTTCTTAATTTGCGCAACTAGAATTCTTTAATTCACGCAGCTGTCAGGTGGTATATATTGCGTTTATGTTAGTATATATTCAGTATATGTGCGCAAATGGAAGTCCTTAATTTACGCAATTGTCAGGTGGTATATATTGCGTTTATGTTAGTATATATTCAATATATCTAAATATGTTGCAATGAAAAAAATGTCTTCCATCAAAAATTATAATCTTCCTCTTTTTTTCTTTTTTTTTTCTTTTATACATAAAAGTATATATATAGTTTAAAAACATATTATAACAGATTACTTAATATAAAACCATACATATACACAACAACAACAACAAAAAAAAAATTTAGTTTATGCTAAATATAAATTGATTTTATACATAAAAATTATGTCTCGCGATAAATTTCTTTATCATATACCGAAAATATACTGAATATAAATCATACATATATAAAAAAAGAAAAAAAAAACAGTTTATGCTTTGTCAAATTCGTTTTCTAACAAAAAAATCTTCTAATATACCCAACATAAACTAATTGTACATAAACTAATGAATAAAACATTGAAAACAGAAAAAACAAACATCCATTCACAAACTAATTGTATACAACTAAGACAATAACATTACATATTCCGAAAGTAAATGATGGCGTGGACCAAAATTGAAAGCCTGCTAGTCTGCATATTCCCAAACTCCACGACCAGGTAACTGGAGATGGAGCCCTGGGGTCAGCAACACGAACCGCACCACCGCTATTATCTCCGGACCCCAATCGGCCATCTCTTCTTCAAATTCAACTACCTGATTTGGGCTGGTGAGAGGGATTTGGGCTGGATTTGAGTGGCCACCTTCAACGAGGATGGTGAAATGGGGAGGGCCGTGGAGAGAGGGTAGCGGCCGTGGGAGGATGTTGCAGAAGAAAAGAAAAAGGAGGAGAAAAAGAAAAAGGAAAAAGAAAAAAAAAGTATTAATTATCTCAATTAATCAATAATTGATTTAATTCCATATTAGATCGTAATTACTAACATAGAAAATCTGGTATATGTGCAAATATATTGGGATGATTTTGTATCTTTGCAAATAAATATTAATTGAGTGTAAATATGTAATATCTCTACTATCTATATGAAAATATGAAAGGCACCATATGACGACAAGTGGCAAGCTCTTTGCTTGACAAGTGGCTGTTTTTTGATCAATTACTTAAATGGGCTTTTTTTTAACAAAGTCTAACACAATTTTTCGAGGACGTTAATGTAACTTGCATTGTCTCACCAGCTTTTATTGTTCTCACTCAATTGACACCTTTTGGGGTTTGCACGACTAATTTTACGCTCTTTGTCTTTGGGCCTTTGGCACAGCAGTTAGGGCTGAGCATGGGACTCGGAGAATTCCGAATCGTTCTGAAAACCAAACCGAAATCACTCCGAACCGAAAAATATCCGTTGAGACTTTCTCCGAACCGAACCTAACCGAAAAAATAATTGGTGCGGTTTTGGATATTTCATAAATATCCGTACCGAGAACCGAACCAAACCGAACTGTCCCGTACCGTACCGTACCAAACAGAATAACCAAAATTAAGAACCGAATTATAAAAATAGAGGCATGTTTGTAATATATTTTATGTCAACTTTGATCCTATATAATTTGAAAATTTTTAAAATGCAATAAAATATAGTAATAACATTTAAAATTCACTTACATTTTATGTTTAGTAATACTTGACCTACAATTGAATTTCTTCTGTTTAAAAAAAATTAAAATAGAATGAAAGGTTAAAGATTTTAAAAAAAATACTTAAGCTTTACTTAAAGTTGTCGATACTTAGCCTTAGTTTATCTTATAACTAACATGATATGGAAGGTTAAATAAATATTACTTTAATATAACACTGTATTATATTTTGTTTGAATTTTAAATTTTCAACGTTAGTTGAATTTAATCTTAACTAAAATTTAGGGTTACTTCTAAAGTTGATTTAAAAATAAAATCTTTAGTATGATGAAGTATTGATGAATGTAGGATTATTTTTAAAAAAAAAACAGATAAAAAATAAAATATAACTAGGTGGTTATTCAAAAAAAATTCAAAATAAGAAATCTCCGAATATCTAAACCGAACCAAACCAAACTGAACCGTTCTAATAGTCCCAAAAATCGAACCGAAAAATAAAAATCTCCGAATCGGATTGAACCGATTTTTTGGTACGGTTCTAAAGATCGATTTTTAGTGATCTCCGAACTTCGGTACGGTTCTGGAGATTTATCAATCTCCGAACCGTACCGACCCATGCTCACCCCTAGCATGCTTTTGCAAGATTTCATCCCAAAATGACAATTAATTCTAGAATAAAATAATATTTGAGTATTATTATTATTTTGTATAAAAAATTACATAAATGTGTTAAATATTATTTTTATTAATATAAACGGATCAACGGACTAATATATTGTTAAAATATAATTTTAGAAATAAGATTTAAAGTACAAAACTACCTGTGCATCGCACGAGATGCTTACTAGTTTCCATAATAACTGTCATATAATAAATTAAGCATGGATACATATTAAAAAATACCAGTAGCTAAAATAATATTCCATTATTCAAATAATGCTAACCATATTTTCTAACAAAAATAATATTCAATTATTCTTACTTT